GCGTAGTGCCGCTCCAGAAGCACGCCCTCTCGGATCAGCTGGTCCAAGTGGGGCCTGGGCTTGGGAAACTATAGGGTTTTGGGTTTAGGGTTTAGGGCTCAGGGTTCAGGGTTAAGAGTTTAGGGTTTAGGGTTAGGGTTTGGGAAACTGAAACCCTACATTCTACCCCCAAGACCGCCAGGGTTTAGGGTTGGGGCCCTAAAGCCCTAAACACTAACTCTCCATCCCTGTCTCTACCCTAAACCTTAAAATCTGAGCCCCAAACCTACGAGGTTTGGGTTTAGGATACGCATTAGGACACATTAGGGTGATATTGGGGTTTCATTGGGGTTATAGTGGGATAATGGAAATCGAGATGGAAACTACGATAGGGTTTAAGGTTTAATTTTTAAGGCTTAGGACCCTAAACCCCCAAATCCTAGGTCCCAAGCCCCGCCTCTTTCCCTAGAACCTCTTTTTAAGGTTAGGGTTTTAAGTGCAACCTCTTGTTTTAAGGTTTAGGGTTTTAAGTGCCTCTTTCCCTAGAACCTCTTTTTGAAGGTTTGGGGTTCTAAGTGCTTCTTTCCCTAGAACCTCTTTTTACCCTAAACCTTCAACCCTAAACCTCTTTTTAAGGTTTAGGGTTTTAAGGTTTAAGGTATAAAACCCTAAACCCTAAACCCTAAACCTTATAGTCACTATTACTGGGTGGGGGGTCCACCTAAGGTATACCTGCTGTTCTCAAAGTATCCAAGGGGCGTGTGCGTCTCGGAGCGACCCTGGGCCTGGGAGCAAACATTTGGGTTTTGAACACTCACCAAAGTAAGGTTTAGGATTTATAAGGCTTTAGGATTTAGGGTTGAGGGTTTAGAATTTAGGGTTGAGGGTTTAGGGTTTAGGGTTTAGGGTTGAGGATTGAAGGGTGTTGGGATCGGATACATGTAACCGTTCATAGATCTTGCTCCTATATTGAAGGTATCTACTATAGGTTGGGTACTGCCCCCCTCAGTAACAGTTGGATAATGATTATAAAATGGTTATATATAGCCCTAGCACCCCTAATATAGACTGTTACTGGGTGGGGGCAGTACCCAAACTAAAGGACTATAGGGGGTGGGGAGTCATCAACACCGGGAGCGGGAGGGCTCGAAGAATAGCACTGAGGGGGTACTAAACTAAACCTCAAGCTCTAAACCCTAAACCCCAAAATCCTAGCCCGAACCCTAGACCCTAACCCCAAAACCCTGATCCCTAAGCCCCCCAAAGCCCCCTAGAACCCCTATAGCACCCCTTATTTGGATAATATGGGGTATATGGGGATCTTATTATGTTATGCCCAAAAGCCATATTCTATCTACTGAAGGGGAACCCTAAACCCTAAACCCTAAATAGTAATTTCCATTTTCTTTTCCAATATCCCTATATAACCCCCAAAAAAACCCTATATACCCCTTTAAAGGGACCTAGGAAACTTCGCTAAGCCACCTCTGCATCTCCCTGAGGATGCTTCCGGTGCTGGCCCATGTTGGCCCAACCGTAGTCGTCAGCCAAGATGAAGACCACATGAGGCCTAGGAGCTTTGTGTGTGGAAGGGGTAAGGTTCAAAGGTTTAGGGTTTAGGGCTTAAGGTTTGGGGTTTAGGGTTTAGGATTTAGAGCTTAGAGGCTTAGAGTTTCAGGGCTGAATCTTAAATCCAAGTCAACATGAAGCCCTAGGGCCGAGGGCTTGGAGGTTTTTGTATATAGAAATTCTTATTTGGGTTTAGGGTTTAGGGCTCAGGGATTAAGATTGGGTTTTAGGCTTGGAGGACTTCGAGGGTTAGGGCTTCGGGGTTACGCGTTTTCGGGCTTTTGGGCTTTGGGCTTGGAAGTACCCTAAACGCTAAACCCTCTTCCCGAAGCCTCCAACCTAAACCCTTAACCCCAACATCCTAAACAGAGTTTAGGGCTTAGGGTTCAGGGGATTAGGGTTTAGGGGGACATCCTAAACTCCAAGAAGCCTTAACACAAGACAAAGTTAGGGTTTAGGCTTTAGGGCTTGAAACCTTAGGGTTTAGGGTTTGGGAATAGGGTTTAGGGCAGGAAACCTTATATATCCTCACGTATCCTTGCATATATCCCTAGATGCCATTGTGGATAACCCCTTCTGCCCAAAAGCCTAAAGCCCTAAACCTCAAAACCTAAACCCTAAACCCTTAACCCTTACACCCTAAGCCATAAACCCTAAACCCTTAAAGCCCTAAACCCTACACCCTAAACTGCCCTAACCCCAAACCCGAAGCCTTCTAGCCACTTAAACCCGCAACCCCAAACCCTACCCTAAAACCCTAAATCCCTAAATCCCTAAACCCTAAAATCCTAAATCCCTAAATCACTAAACCCTTAAGCCCTAAATCCCTATATACCCCTATATACCCCCGTATATACCCCTTTAAAGGGCCCTAAGCCCCCTAAACCCTAAACCCTAAACCTCCTCGGAGCGGCTTCCAGCTCCAGGCCGTCTCCAACCACAGGAGGGGCAGAATGCCTGAGCTAGAATAAGGATTTAGGGTCTTAGGATTTAGGATTTTGGGATTTAGGATTTAGGGTTTAGGGATTTAGGGATTTAGGGTTTTAGGATTGTAGGACTTTGGGAGTTAGGGTTGAGGGATTTAGGGTTCAGGGATTGAGGGGTTAAGGGTTTAAGGATTTAGGGTTGAGGATTGAGGGATTCAGGATTGAGGGATTCAGGATTGAGGAGTTTAGGGTTTAAGGATTTGGGGATTTAGGGATTCAGGGTTTAGGGTTTAGGTTCAAGGTTTAGGATGTAAACCTTACTCTGCCCCTCACCATGAAGATACAGGGCGTGTAGGAAGATGTGAGCATATTCAACAAAGGGATGCGTATGGTAGTTTCCCAAAATCAGGGCTTCGGGTTTTGGAAATCCGGGGCGCGGGATTTAGGATTGTTTGGTTTAGGGTTCAGGGTTTGGGGCTTATAGGGTCTAAGACACCAAACCCAAACCCGAAAACCCTAAACCCTTACACCTTCTATATCCTCATACATCCTTCCATACATCCCTGTACGTTCTTATGAAACCCCAAGCTCCCCTCCCGAAAGCCCTAGAAGCTTAAGCTAAGGATTTGAAGCTGCGAAGACTTCGGGCTTTTGAGGATGGGGGTCTCTAATCCCCTCTTCCGCTAACAGTAAACCCCTATGATTACATACTCCCCATTGTGGTAGAGTATTGGGAGTATTTGATATTAGGGGGGAACGGGGGTTAATATTATGGGGAGGCGATTTCAAATAAACAATCTTGAGGGTTAGGGTTTGGGGTTTGGGGGTTTATGGTGTTGGGTTTGGGGGCTTGCGGAGCTTTGATATCCAACAATTTGCAAGGGAGGATGTTCAGGGTTTTGGTTTTTGGGCGGTTGGTGTTTCTGTATGGCATCCGCGTTTGTCTCCGCCTCAGTCGTGTTGGGCCTTTTGGGGAGTTTGAAGGTCCCTAAACCCTAAACCCTAAACCCCTAACCCCTACACCCTAAACCCTAAAACCCTAAACCCTAAACCCCTGAACCCTAAACCCCTAAACCCTGGAACCCTAATCGTTCAGGACAAGATGCAGGCCAATCGTGTAGCCAACATGGCAACAAGATACGGGCTGCCGCAGACAGCTGAACCCTGATCTTCGCAAA